CATCCAGAATACTCCACAGGCTCCTTGAATGTTACTGATCCTGTAATGTATATTTATTTGTCCATCACAGGTGTGTGGACTATTTCCTCCAAACTTGCTTTTCTTGTGTTTGTTTTCTTCTACTTCTACCGATATGACTCCTGTGTCTCCAGCCAGTCGCACAGCAGCGCATTTAGAGATTCTTTCTGTATATCTTAGTACTTTTTGTCACGCATGCATTATGTGTTCACTCTGCGTGAACATCGGGACCAACAGTACACAAGCATCAGGGTGGAACACTGTTTTGTGTTTATGTAGACGGGAAATCACTGGCTAGGAATACTATACAGATGGCCATTGTTGGGACACAGCGGCTGAAGTACTTTGCAAAACTGTATTTTCTTTCTTTTTCATTTGAAACAAGTTTTTGTGAGCTCTCTTCAGTGCGAGTCGGATGATTGTGGTAAATAAACTTTCCAGATGTGTTTGAGCAAAAATGGTTTGTTTCATAATTGAAATGACATTGACACATATGTGACAATATTTTCTTTCATGGAGTGAGAATATAATACATTTTCAGGAATAAGAGACAACCATATTTGAAGGCTGTGTACCTTAAAAGCGGCTGTAGTTTTTTATGAAATTACTTATCAATTAATCACTTTTTTATTGCCTATTGGTGAACGGGTTGTAACCGCACATAAAAATGAACCACACGCCTGCTTTTTCGGGCGCTTGGAACTGCCATTAATCTGTGTCCGTGAAGGAATCGGGTCAGATTTTCTGCATGCACGCTCACGAGTCTCATGCCTACTGATAATAAACTATTTACTGTACACAGCGACAACACCCCAGCTGACAAAATGAAGTCAGCACAAACGCCCAGCTCCCAACACAACATAGACTCCAACACAAACTCCACGTAAGGATTAAAAAAAAACAACTTATGTGCTGGAGCCTGTCAGGTCAAACAAGAATCTGGCGAAAAAAATGGGTTAACGTCAGAAAGGCATTTGAGTTATGGACAGACCTCCGCTTTGTTTTGGATATAAAAACCGACCCAGAGTTGGCTTTCATCCTGTTGGACAGGTAAACTAACATTACTGCAAAACATGAAATATAGTGGTGGGGTTTTTGTTGGCTCAAGTTAGATAACCAGTTGCTAAAGTTATCCATTGCGAAATACTAAAGCTGTAACATTATGGCTTGCCACATTACTTCACCAGCTACTGCTGGTGTTATATCAAAGTTTTGATTTTAGCCTGCAAGAAATGATGTAAACAAAGCAAATGGGGAGTGATTTGTTAGCCTATTGTGATGCAAGGCAGCTAAATTAGCATGGATCTTGACCTTGTTTGCTTTGTAACGTTAAATTTAGATTTATTGTTATTTTACCAATGTTTTTGCCGATGCCAAGTGGTCATTCATTCATTCGAGAATGTGGAGGAGCAAGCATTTGGAAAGGTAGTGGTGCAATCTGAAACCTTACCACTAGAGGCTACTGAAAACTACACATGGTGCTTTCAAAGCTTCATTACCCATCTTTTCGGCCCCTTGGGGGCAATGCAACAAGCAATGGACAAAACACAATTATCACCTTATAAAGTTGTTAGGCAAACTTGTAAGCAACAGCTGCTTATTATTATCATCTCACTGCATAACAAGCTGAGATATATTTTATGACTTAATCAAATACATTTTGTAAATCTTAAGGCATTTTTCGCAGTGCCAACACTGACAAATTATCACTATATAAAGATGGTGCAAGCATGTTACCAAACAGTCGTCATTTACACATCCAAGGAACACTCCGGCAACATTAGCACTACTGCTGGAAATAAAGAGGATGAGAGCAGAAAGTAGTTTGAACCATACATTAAAATTGCAGGCCGGAAAAAGGACCAGATTTGGTTGACCAGTACCTGTGGGTTTGTCACTATGAGTAACACCTTTCACAATATACATGGTCATGTGACCCATTGGAAACAGCAGCTTTAACTCAAAGTACTGAAAGTATTTGTTTTCGTCTCACCACCACTGCAGCTTGTGCAATGACTCATTGCAAAGTGCCCGTCACACGTGCTCATTACGTGCCGCTATACTTAACAAGGTCCAGCTGAAGCCTCACCTAATCAAGTCATCTGTAAATCGCCTCACTGCAAGAAAAAACCCGTTTTACACAGGTTGCCGTGCCTTCTAGAATACCTCAAATGTAGAGATGTCCTGGATTGCAACATCTGGATATATAAACCCCTGTCTCACAATGGACAGTAGCTCTGTTAAGACCCTTCTGCAGGAATGATTAACATGCTAAAGCTGCAGATTCATAAATGCTCATTGGCTCTGTGCAGCAGAGGTTTCACATGAGTCACTGAAGGCCTGCTTTTCATTTCTCACTTTACTTTCCATTACAGAGTAGATTGAAAATAGAAATTTCATTGCAAGTGTTGAAAAAGCAGCATTTCTTTCTTCAATCTCATATCATACATAAATAGATTTGGAGTGTCTGCATTAGTACTTTAAACATAAATATAAAGATATTATCAGATAAGTACAGCATGGCTTGGCCAACTACTGTAGCCAACAGACCGTTCCTTGTAGTTTTTAACAGCTGATAAGTCAAATCTCTATTTTCCACAATTTGTCATATTTGTGTTTGCATTTCTAATTTTGTGTTTGCAAATAATATTATTTCAGTCAGGACCACTTTAGTTACAGAAACTTATCGATCTGCAGTAGTTATATTTGGCGTTATGGCTCTGTTCAGCAGCAGCAGAGATTGTACTAATGCTATGCCGGATTTAGGTTTACAAAACAATCACCATATTTAAGGACTGCTTACTAGGTTTTTATGAAGCTCTTGACTATCACATGACCTTCACCAACTGTAAATGCTGCTGGCTTGGCCAGGCCTCCTTTGTAACAAATCGTTGATCTCAGCGGGTCTTACCTGGTCAAATATGGGTTAAATTAAAAACATTAAAAAAAAACATTTGACAGACCTAAAGAAACTGAAATTTTAGTTAGGAAATCACACAGATGTAGCCAGACGTGCCCTTTGGAGGTCTAAGTAAAACACAATGTTAAGTCAACTGGGGGTCCCGGCCCTCCGTTACATCGTGTGCTTTGGCTACAGCTGGGGGTCCTCAAGGTGACAGGTAGGGGATTAGGAAATACTTGCACCCTACATTGAAACTGACTGCACATGTGCTCCTACTAAAATGGCTGCACTATAAATTCATGGAGCATCTCATCCAGATGTGTCTTCAGAGCTTCCCGATAGCCATCTGTCTATCTGTGTCTGCAATAGACTGACTAATGACATCTCCATATAAAATAATAGATTAAGGGATATGAATAATTTGAGTAATCTCATGAAAAGAATAATCCACACGAGTGTATCTAATAATTCTCATTGTTCAACTGAGCATTCATAACCCTGACAGAGATCATCATCCTTCAGTGTTCACACCCAATATTATAAGTTATGCTGTATAAAAGAGGACCCATCATAATATAATTTAATTTCAAGACTCAGTTATGTACATATTGAGATTGTAATGTGCAAGTCTATTCATATGAAAATCTCTCTGTGCTTGCGGTCTGTCCAAGCAACACTGGTTCAATAGAGCCATCTAGTGGAGATACACTGGCATGGTCACCTGTTAGTTTGTCAGCACATGAAGGGTTTAGTTAAAATAAAAAAAATAGCATTTAATTGCTTTTTTTCCTGGAGTTTTCAACAGAATCTCAAGGTCTTTTTGACTTGATGGAATTTGCTTTGCTGTCATCTGAGTAGTCCTCAAATTCAATCTCCTCCATACTATACCAACTGTTATATGAACAAATTCCTTACTTTTGTCACAAGATTGTAGTTTATAGCTCAGTATTATATACTTACTATTTTTTTTTTTTATTCACATGACTTTTTCACAGGTCCAGGTAACTGTTATTAACTGATATTAAAAATCCAACTGATTAAAGCTGCACTAATCAATATTTTTTATATTAACAATGGATCAAAAGACTAGTAGGAGTGTGAGAGATATCACTCATAGTGACCAACCCACAGAAACTGCAATTTCCTTCAGTTCTATGGAGCATTTCAGCATTTGTTAGCTAGTAGTTTTTTTGTTTCAGGGTCCACAACTTTACTTTAGTTTTAATTAACTCACTGCTCTCATTATCATCATTTCCAGCAGGTGTTTCCAAGGAAAAGGTTCTTATTCCAACTGTAGGCTATGCGTCACCAAACATAGACAAAAGTTGACTAGAAGCTAGCTAGTGAACATAGTAGAGCATCTAGCACCAAAAGAGCTATATATTTTTTTCCTCAGGAGCATATGGGAGGCCAAAACTAAGCTAACCAACTAAAAGGAGAGGAGAATATATTGGACTTACATTCCTTATGTGGACAGAAACAGAACACCAAATGAATGCTAATGTTGCTCCCTGACTGCTGGATGTCTAAATAGGCAATTGTTAGCTAACTTTTGCCAGACTATCTATAGTGTCAGCAATGCTTTAAATGGTCAACATTTTACAAAATTCTACAGATTCAGTACCCGGTATGTCTCAATCTCAGTCAGAAAAGTATGAACGATGGTATGAACCGAACAGCGGTGTAAGCATATATTTCATGTAACTCTGGACACAAGTTATAAATCTCTCCACACACACACACACATTTGGATACAGGAGAGCAAAACTTCTAGTCTCCTCATTCCTGGGGCTCCGAGAGCTCGTTCATCTTCATTCATCGCTCTCAGCCTCCTCACACTTTTCTCTCATAATTCATACCTTGCTATATATAACCAGCTGCATTGTTCTGCTCCTCCACATCTAAACTCACTTAATCTGGCTCACACAATAAAGCGAATAAAGATAAATGTCTCAATGTGTAATATTACTGTCAAATACTATCTAGCTATATCACCAGCAGGGAGGGGGTTTGCTGCTCTTTATCTGCAGTAGCACATGTGACTGGAAGTGACTTCCAGACAAATGAAAAGGAGCCGGTCTAAAACAACAAAGATAATACATTTAATATTGTTTCTCTTTTGGGCAATGCGAGATACAATGTAAACATGTACAAGATACAAAAAACAGGGAACAAGACTTGTCAAAATGAAAAGGGTAGATAAGAAAATGCCCCGTTTTCAAAATAATGCACACGTGCAGAATGTCTCCAATCAGAAAGGAATTTGGACAGCATTTGCTTTCATTGTATGTCGTCCCAGTGCACTGGACACTTTGAACAGATTAGTGTGTGTGGCCTTGCAATGTATGATTTAGTGTTCAGACTCTCATTGGATTATTATTGACATTTACAGTGGAATAACGCCCCCTTTTGTCCTCCTTGTGAAGGAGGAAAACAAGCAGTTTGCAAGGGTTAAACACACTTTGCATAACAACAACGGTGATAGAAAAAGAAAATAAAAGAATTGCACCTCCTTTGGTCCAACTCGAGGCCCGTAGTTGTTATTGTGTTCGTTAGTGTGGCTTACATGCTGGTAACGGCTTGTTTTCGTCAGAATTTACAGATCAAGAGCTTGATGGCATACGGCTTCCAAGTGTTTTTTTTTTGGCACACTGCTCTCGACAGCAGGATGGTAACAAACTCTATTCTATAAACGCAACTTTGACGCTAAAAGAAGGATCCACCTTCCCATGAATCTACCCCACGCTGTAACTCAACATCAATCACTTCTGACAGCTCACCTCCACCACAAAGATACGGCTGAGTGCCGACCTGCACCAGAGGCTCCCACGTAGAATGGCCGTTAGCGCTGCAATAGCATCCGACTGGCTAAGGTTAATTAAGACACAATGTTGTGCTAATTAGAAACAGGGATTCAAAACAGAGACAAAGAAAAAGTGCCACAGAGACACAGCTGCATGCCTCGTTCCTCGACACAGCCTCTTCTCTGGAGCTCTGAGACAGCTCCCGCTGATGCCCGCTAGTGCGTCAAATAACTGCGATTCTGTGAACAAGTTTTCAGAATGACATAAATAATCAGCATTCTCTGATTCACAGGCTTGGGATTTTTTATTTTTTTTTACCCCAACTGCTTGAAAAAAGCCCTGCAGCCTCGCTTGTTATTTTTCTTTGTTCTCTCACACTCTAACAACTAGATATTAATTTAAAAAACCTGCAAAATCATCCCCTTAAATACCTCTCACCTGCTCCTACACACTTACTAAAACTTTCCTATCCAACCTACCCCCATCTTCTATCAAACCAATGTCATCATTAACTTTTAATTGCCATTTTTATTAACTCAGCAATCACTTCCAGAGCTGGGTGCTGTTGACTTCAAGCACTTTTGGGTTTTTTTGGATTTCTTCCCATTATAAATTAAAGCTTGTTTCATAGATGTGAATAAACCCTTCAAATCCTGTGTTACACTTTGATGGCATTCAATTGTTTTCTCAACAGAAACACAAAGGAACAAGGCAAAAACAGAGACAGGGAATCCACCGTTTGAAGTCATTTTTTGTCTTTTCCCAAAAAACTTTTTCCCCAACACCCAGCTCAACTCTCACACCCTCAGGGCTACATAAGATCTGAAGACACTGACAGTAAAAGAAGCTAAAATCAGACGCAGAATCACCTTTAAAAAGGCATTCTGTGGACGAAGAGTTAAGACAGACAGAAGCTGCTGTGGTGTGAACTCACTTGTCTCTCACTGACTTGCCGTTTCTTGCGCAGCAGAATCAAAAACGTCAAGTGCTGCAATTAAAAACATTGTTTGGAGTAATGAGATCTCACAGTTCAGAAGAGGAGCTCATTAGGTCTGGGTTGTTGTTTTTTTACCTGTTTACGGGAATTATTTTTCATCGTTTTTAGAGTGGAAGCAGTGCCCACTCGCCTTTCATCTCCCTCCTATCAAAGCAAAGCTCCTCTCACCTCCCTCTCACCTTGTCTCCTAGAATCCACTATCTTATCCATCTTGTGTCTCACTGCATCCTGCTCTCGCAAATCTCCTCCTTGACCTCCAAATTCTCTTCTCCTGAGCGCACCTGCAAACAATCCATCTCATCATGCAAAAACACCCCCTCCACCCCACCGCAAACCCTCCTAGATATCTCAATCATTTCACTGGGAATAGACTGCTTGGCTGTGTCGAGGAAGGACAGAGATGCAAATACGGTGAGGGAAGAAAGAAAGAGAAGTGGGGAGCAGAAAGGAAGTGTTGGAATATGCTATGGCAGCAGCTAGTGTTGGGGATTACAGAGCTTAAGGTGCTTCACGCCTGAGAGGTGCCATCCATTTGTTAAAATAAAAATAGAGTGAGGAATAAAACAGGGTGAAGGCGTAGCGGAGCTATCTCGCCCGCCTGACTTCGGAGAATACGTCGGGGACACTCATATATTTCCTTTTGGCATGAATGACTCCTCATCATCATAGAGCGCGTGTTGGCATGTGCGCACACGCTCGGTTTTGCAGGTGGAATGCAAAAATATTACCTCCCCCAAATCCATTTCCATTCTGCCAAGTGGATGCAGCCAGGTTTACGTGCGGCGTAGCTGAGACAGGCTGAACTGGCGTAGGCCATGATTGGAAAAAGAAGCGTGTAACTTAAAGGAGCAGTTAGACATTTTGGGAAATAAAGTCACTTTCTTACCCAATAGGAGTTAAGATTGATAACCTACCACTCTCATGTCTGTATGCTAAAGCCAAAACCAGGATCGAGTCAGCTTAGCATAAAGACTGAAAACCGAGATAAACAGCTGACCGAATGTCCAACATCTCTAAAGTTCATTAATTAGCACGTTAGGCCTATATCTCATTTGTTTAATGTTGCCAGATACAGGACACAGCAGACAGGTGTAAGTTGCGTGCTGGACCACGATTGGCTTCCAGTTGTGATGTCACACTCTGATTGGCTAGCACATATTGCCTCAGTTGGTTAAAAAAAATGACGTGTCAAACATCCAACTAAGTGAGGTAACCATAAGCAAAACATGTCTTAACGTCATGAGAGTGGTATATCTTGGCAAAAAAAAAGTGAATCAGGATATTTCCTAAAATGTCAAGCTAAAGGATTTATGGACAACCCCCCCCAACAACAATACAGGCAACTCTGTGTATATGTCTGTACACGCAAGAAGTCTTTAGCACAATGACGTATTCACCTTTAGCACATGGATAAGGCCTGCCTGGGGCACAGCAAAGACGAAAATAAAGGTTTTTCTATTTTTGGCGTACATCCTGGAAGTTGATGGATTGAAATGAAAAGGCCTGAAGGAGCGTTCATCTCCCCGCTTTCTTGTTTACCATCTAGACTCTCTCCAGCCGATTCCAAATGTCACCTTCGCCATTGTGATTGGTGGGGGGAAAAGTCCGGTCCTGGTTTGACAACAGGGGGGTAAATGTCGAGAGAGGGCTCCACGTAGGTGCAGAGAGGATACACTCCAGAGGGATGACAAAGAATAAAAGACGACAACAACAACAACACAAGAAAATATCAAAAATCCATTCAGGCACAAACGTGACAGCTCAGAGCAGGGCCACAGAGGGCCCTGATGATGGGCCTATGACTCTCCATCGTCGAAAAAGACCCCAGATGGCTGTAATGTCAATACAGAATGGGTCAGCGGGTTTCTGCCATGCCATTCACAAATCACTGTCCGCTGCTGATCCAGGGCAGGAGGAGCAGAGATGCTCATGTTCGTTATTATAAAAGTACATGTCAGGAGATTATGAGATATCACATACCACTGCTTTGGTCCAATGATGCTTTCAGGGCCTTTCACATGTGCTCTTTGAAATAAACTTCAAATAATATGCTTGAAATGGTGGTAAAAGCTTGTGACTGGCAGTTTAACTGGAAATATCTGCTCCCAGCATGAGAAGTGGCAATGTTCACGTTTTCCTACACCTGTGATATTTTTCCTCATGTTCAAGCATGATGTGTTTCTTATCTATTGCACATTTCCTTGTGGGTACATTCCCGAATTTGACAAAAAGGGTAAAAAAATAAAAATAAAAAATGGGGGAAATAAGAAGGAAAAAATAAAATGAAAGCATGAATAAAAAAAAAGATGCTACACAGCTAAATGTAAGCCTGACACAGAACGATTCCCTTGCTATTTCAGAAGTAAATTCAACTCGATCAAACAAAACAATAAGCAATAATAATAAAAGCAAAATGTTAAAAGTGATTCAACACATTTACATAATGCCTTCGTCTGTATGGGCAGAGGCCTTGTTGCATCCTAATTCTTAATTTTAGTATTTTAGGTCCTTATATGATGATATTTTTACATTTTGTTGATTGAGTCGACATTTTGCATATCAAGCTGAGTGCAAAGTGTAACAATGATAATGTGTATAATAGGATACAGAGATATTTGGAATGGGGGAATAAGGTGATTATCAAACTGTGAAAAGAGTATTCATAATAAATATACATTAAATCAGGCATTATGTAAAGCACAATAAAGATGAAGGAAGTGCCCATGATTTGCTAAAGTTGCAGCACACAGCATAGATAAAAAAAAAAAAGGATTTTTGTTTAAATTTTCAAAAAAATTAATTATTTCCCAATGAAAACATGTGGTACAAAATATTTTTAGCTGCACTGAGATTTTTAAAAAAAGAAAAGAAAACAACATTACATTTCTGTACAGTTATAAATGTGACTCACTGACCAGCAGCGCATTTCTTATTGCACTGAGGTAGGACGGCTGGTAAGCCAGGTAGATGGAACAGAAATAATTTGTAGTACCTTTGACCTCCCACAAGAGGTCTCTATTACTCCAATTCTACTCAGACTTTGGCATGGTCACTGCCATAACCTCATTTGAGGTAAGAAAAAAAAAATTACGATTAAATAATTCCAAAAAACGTATTCAATAAATAATATGCTGATTATTTACTGCATCTTTACATTAATGCACCATAAAAACAGGTTTAAAGTGCACTAATTCACAAAACAGAATCACTTCGTTCCTAATTATTGTCACTGTGTGATCACAGAGTAACGTATTAACAAACAAAAAACAAATACGGTTTCACTAAAATAGATTACTGCGATCTAGCAGGTACTGTACTTTGTTTAATACTATGATACTGTCCAGCAGAAACATAATGAAGTTAGTGTTCAGCCTCATACAGAGAGCTCAAACCGTTCGTTAGAAAACGTATTTCAGCAGTCTTGAACATCAGCCATTTGAATTTTGAAAGCTGGATTTTAGCTCCACATTTTCCATATAACAATTCTGCAATGGGGGAGAATCTTTCCAAACTTGATATTTTAGGTGAGAAGTCTTATTTATATGATCTTATAATATATGAAACCCAACTATCATTAACTTTTAAACAAGTTAATACACTACGTTGTGTTCTATTTAAAGGTCAAAACCCCATACTGCACAGCAATACCTAATAACTTTTTAATTGACTGTGTCTTTTTTAGAAAATACATCAAGTGCTTCCAGTCCAGGCCTTTTCAGTTCACTCAGGCATTTTGTTGAATACACTGTATTACTTGCATATAAATAAATAGTAAAATCACAAACAAAGCCAATGAAATGACATTTCTCTGTGGGCTAAATGCCATGCAAATATGTCCCTGGGATTTAATTATTTCACCGTATTTCCAGTAACTATTCAAAACATATCTGCAACAGCAGTATTATTATATGTATACAAAGCAAAATATATACAAAATAAATTGTTTCCGGAACTAAAAGCACTACAGTAAACCTAAACCTTTGTAAACTAATTGTTTTCATCTTTTGAGGTTAAGATATCCAGATACGAGGTTGTTTTGTTCTGGAGAGCACTGAAGTTACAAGTTGTTCTGTTGTGTTTTTTCAAGTTTCACAGGTTTATTTTATGCATTTGTTATCCCAGATAGTTACACCTGGGATTAAAAACATGAATATTACTGTCACATATTTTCTGGGGCTTGAGAATCTACGATAAAGCTAAGCCAATGTATCGAACCTGAGCACCTACTGATTACTTTGCCAGTGTCCAATGGTACAAGACACGAGGCAGGAGCTTTAACTTTTCCAATTCTAGGCAGACGGTGGAAAACAGATGTCACAAGAAAGCAGAAATAATTCTCTAAGAAAGACTTGCACCAACACAAGACATTATAACATGAACAATGAAACAAAATAAAAATATCGATAACAAGATTAAAATGTTGTTTTAGTTTGCTTGGTGACTTTGTGCTTCAAACGAATAAAGTCTCTGCTGACTTGAACCCCTTAAAAGCACTCTAGATCGAAACCTTGCACTTTGTTTGCACTCTATAGTGGCGCTCTTAATTGGTTATGGAAATACTCCTGGTGGTGTTCATAGGCCTATGGCACTCTAAAAAGATTTGGTTGATTTAATGTTTTACCATCCACCATTTAGGACCATCCAGGTGAACAAAATACAAAAGGCACTTATCGGCCATCATAGTCAGTGATGGGCAGGAATAAACATAGCCATTACCCTGCTCAATTTCTGTATTACATGATGCAAACCTCTTTAAGAGGTTATCACTCCCATTCATACCATTTTAAATCTTAAAGACACTGTCCTCCTCAAATTTGAAGGGTGACCAATCCCATGTTTCTGTCCCCCATTGCCAGCCAAAATATTTAAAATGTTTATACTCCCCTTCGTATACATTTTAGTAAACCAGCACTAAAGGTGTCCTTCCCTATCAGATTAAAACATCTTTCTTTTTACACCCAGTCTTTTCATAAATGTACATTTTCAAGGACATATTGCTTAGAGGAGATTGCGGGTAACATTCTTAAGGAGTGATGCCACCCATGTCCTTAAAGACATCAAAAGGGGGGGTGGGGGGGGGGGGGGGGGGGCGAAGGGTTGTTTTTATTTTTTCCGCTCTAGGTAGTTGGAGGGGACCCAGCCCTTGCGAGGAAGCAGGCTGTCCTGCACCTGGCAGTACCACCATCCATTGGGGTTTCTCTCCAAAACCTCCAGATAGGTGCCCTCAGTGAAACCCATAGTTTCCTCATCACCACGATAGTCAGCGATGGACACGTACACATCCCTGCCAAGGTTGTTGTGGATCAGTTGGCTCTTCTCTATGGGCTTGGGTCGGACTGTGGACACGGGGATGCCATTGCGTTGGTTAACTCTGCTAAGGGCGTCCTGGACATTGCTTGTGCTGAATGAGCTCCCTGAGGACCCCAGGCTGGAGCGGTCGGTAGGCCTCGTCTGACTTTCAACAACTACATGCGGCCGCACTGTGCTGAAGGAAGCATTTCGACGGACACCAAGAGTGGCAGAACCAGAGCCATAGTGATCACTTCTGCCAAGTGAGTCATTTCGCCTCAGAGATCCTGTCATGTAGTGCGCGTCCTTGGCTGGCTGTGTTGTGGTCACATACACAGACTGAGGCCTCACCGCCACCTGGCGTACCCCATTTCTCATCCTAACGCCTCCATTAACCATTCCAGATGGCTTAGAGAAGCCACCAGGAGGCTTAGAGGGAATCGGTGGCGTGTTCCTCCTCAAGCCTTGATGCTGCTGGTTCAGACCCTGAATATTGATGTTATTGAGGGTCAAAACATGCTGCTCGTTTTTCTCCAGGCTGTTGGACTTGCTGCCACCACTCCCGTGGCCATCTGATTCTAACCCACCTGCATCACCCACTTGTCTGACAGGTTCCAGGTAGTACGAGGGAGCCCAGCCTTCCTCTGACCCCCAACGGATGTACCACCAACCGCTTTCCTGCTTCTCCAGAACCTCGACCTCCACACCGGCTGGAAAGCTGATCTCCGAGTCCTGGATCTTTTTATAGGCGTCCACGGAGCGGTAGAGATTGGGGCCTTCAACGTCTGAGTCACCACGGCTCCCTTTGGAGTAAACAGAAGAGAGATCTGAGGTACTGCGCGAACACATTGAGTCCTCTGATGAGATAACGGAGGCTGTTTCAGAGTCATCTCCACGAGTAGGTTTGAGGCCATGTCGAAACTGACTTGTAGGCCTCAGCTGCCGTCTCAGAGAGCTGATGTCCATCCTCTCAGGACTCTGGGGCTCTGATTTGGTCAGGAGTGGTTTAGGTCTTACAGAAGGCTTGGGCCTAGTGGAGGGGCTCTGGCCTATTCTCTGCTCCACATCTCGGCTTAAGGCAGGGTTTTTCTTGGGGCCTCTGCTCAATTCATCTGATGAAGAGTGGGGGCTGTTGTCGTGCGACCTGAGGCTGATATCTACGTGTCTGCCCAGGGTCTGGCTTCTCCGGTTCATCTCTGGTGTCACTGTCTTCATGGGTCTACCAGCTAAAGGTGATGATCCAGAGGGTTTGCGTGGGACTGTGGAGGAATGGTAGCTCCTTGGGGAATTCGGCTCACTGGAACCTTTGACTGAAGTTCCTTCAATGCCACTGCTTCGCCTGAAGCCATCATTCTCATAGATAGACTCCTCTTTTGCACCCTCCTCTACAGACCTGAAGGAAGCTCTTCGATGGGTGAACACAGGGGATGCCTTGCAGACAGGAGAAGCCTTGCACGAAGGAGGGGAGTTGCGGTACTTGTCGCTGACCACGCTGCTGATCTTCACATCCAGGACACGGTCATCCTTCAGGGAATCTGTGTCCGATTCACCTTCACATCCAATTGCAGGAACATCATATTCAGGTTCCTCATACACAGGCCTGCTCGGTGGCTCTGAGGCTTTAGAGGCAGAGTTAGCAAGAGTGGGAGTCTCCTCGGAGTCTTGTTTTTTGACAGGTGGAGCTGGGGGAGGAACTTTGGGCCGCGTCAGGGTGCTGGTCCGGCGGTTGAGGTTAGGCTTCTTGCGCTTGTCGATGTAGGAGCAAGGGGCCCAGCCCTCCATTTCTCCGATCTGCACATACCACCAGCCTCCAGGGTTCTTCTCTATCACCTGGACAACAAGACATGAAAGATAAAAGAGTATTTTATTTTCTTTAGGATTTGTCAAACTTGCTAAACACTGAAATGGGATAAGGTTAGGGTTTAGATGATCTGATAATCAAAGACATGCCGTTATTTTACCTGCTATTACTTCTTACTGCTTCTTGCACAGACAAGACAGACAGACTGACAAAAGTTAACACACTGTCGAGAACTGTCAGCTCAACATAACTTAAAAAACCCTGGAAGGAATCTATGTTGTTATCTTCATCCCTCTACCTGAGTCTCTGCAGAGTGAATTCTGTCTACATCATCACTGTCTACATAAACACAATTCTCAAGGTCGCATCTCTCTTGCATCAGCTTTCCTGTCTATCTGGGGAGCACTCAGTTGACATACATATTCAGTGAGCCCTGACTGTCTCATCTCAGTGACAACAATGTAGACCTGGCCTCTTACATCAGCCTTTTGTCCTCCACGGAAACTGATGCCGTCAGAGATCGAGGACTGGAAATCAGCTATAGTGTAATACTCTGCTTCCACAGCAGGGGGCTCTGGTGGCTTTGGTAACTGGAATCCCTGTACAGCAAAGGGGGAGAGATGTGGGCAGCTGACATCATATCTAGCCATCCTTATATTTAATCTGACAAAGACTTAAGAATGATTATGACTAAAGACATAATGAAGAAGACATCTTCAATGCTATTCACATTTCATAGTATGTATAGTATATATAGTAAGTGTGTACAGCGGTAGATTCAGATGATCAAGGCTGAAAGTGTATTTGTGTTGTTACTGTGCTTTAATGGTTGCTATGTCAACTGGGAGCTAATCAATAATCTTTCTTAAAGTAGGAAATATTCTTATTTACTGTATTTATAGTGTGTTGAAAATAGTTTTCATCTAGAACCTCATCTAGAACCAACATCTCTGGTATTTTTAGGAAGCAGTAGCTTGTGAATTCTCTTACCAAGTTGGTTTCTCTTCTCGGGGGAGGTTTTTGTCTCAGATTTGGAGACCCTAAAAAACAAACAAAGAAACATCTCAATAAAATGTATTTGCAATGTACTTATCCTCAGAGTTATATTTGTGCCTCATTCCTGTGTAACAGAAACACTGAGAGGCTGGCAGTCATGAAGTCTGCGCAAGGGCCCCCTTTTACATGACTGAAGCAACATCGCTCGTCATTCAGAATGAGCACGCCACTTCTCGTTTCACCCCAGTAGCCAGAGGGAAGGTCCGGTGAGACATCTCAACCATGCTACTCAGAGCAGTATTATCTAGCTACAGTTCCGGAGGTTAACCGGTCGACATGCATATATGCATATCAATAACTTGGGTTTAGGCACACACACTTCAGGGGGCTGTCAAGAGTAACACAGCCAGCTAGCTAGCTAGCCAGCCAGCTAGCTGGCGGTATAAAAGTAAACAAGGGTCTTACAAATGCAGTTCCGGTCCTAGGATTGCTGTCCTAAAACTGGAGCCTCCGGTACTGCAGCGACATACTACTCACTGGGGTTATGCAAGTAAGTTGTCTTTCATAGCACTCGTTTCACTGTCTCACTATGGGACATGAGGTAGTCTTATTACCAAACAAGACTACCTCAAGCAGTCCCTCTAGGATTTCGCGATCACAACTATTAATGCAAATTCAACAAATCCCCACGAATTCAGCGCGACTTGCAATTTTGACCAATCACCACAGCTTTTCTGCAAGTTTGACCGATCATCGCCATTTCCCGCATAACATTATCATACGTCAGCTTGTCATTTTTGAAATTGTCTTTTTTTGAAAAGCTGCCGCGAAATCGGGCATTTTACACTGCAACAATCACTGAAAATGCCCACGAAATTTTGCGCGCAATCAAGTGCTCAATGATTGCCCACCTCACTCCAGTCAGATTGCTAGTATTATCTAGGGCTCACTAGGGATGTAGGGAAGCACTAGAACAATGGTAATCAGCTCCACAGCCCCATAACAAAACCTTAGTAATAGTTAGTGTTTAGTTTTTCTTAACTTCTGGTTGTTAAATTATTGTGTAATTGATTATCTTGGTATGTTGCCAGCTAAATTCTGCCATATATGCAGTAGCCAACTAAGCCATTGGTTGCTTTGCTGATTGCCAGCTAGCATACTCTGGTCAATAAAATTATAAATTAGATTTAGATTTATTTAAATTTACAGACACTATATTTCCAAGCTATATTTTAAAGGAACTAGTGTACATTAATGATTGTAATGCCTTGGTCGTGTAGCTGTGGTATACCTGCTCCCTCTCCCTACCTACAGTTACTACTGTAGTAGTAACTGACAATGCTACTAGTCACCTGACAGATAGTCAGAAATTATCTCCTCAATTTTCTGATTGTCTGGAATCGTGGCACGCTGTTACACAAGCTGAGGAAGTGCACAGTGTGAGCAAGTGTCCAAGGGTTTGCCAGCATGCAACAGGGACATTGAAAGTGAGTAAATGTGTAAAACTGGGTGAGATGAAAACACTCTTGTGGATATTGGCAAACACGCAGACAAATGTGTTGAACATAAAATAGATTTTTGTTTCCCCAAATTTAAACTTTCTTTGTGTGATAATAACTTCTCTACAATATAATGCACTTGAAAAAAACATCTCTTTCTGTGCACGACATGTTCCAACACATGCTCAGGAATGAGGCACAAATCTAATGCCATACACTATTAAACACAAGCTGGCCATACATTCTGACTTAAGTAAGTGAGTAAGTACGTAAGACAGAAATCCACACACAAAACATTTTAAAATCAAATAAATAACCTCAGGTTAGTGTGACAAAGTATTATTTATTAGATTATACCAACCCCACCCCCACCATTAGATACACCACCAGCCATGTAGCTTACCTATAGCATCAAAACCTACACAAAAGGAAAATGACATGCCTTAATGTCTCATACATACACTACAAATTCTCTCCATAGCTGCAGTGCATTTACTGCTTTATTCACTGGTACAGAAAGCTCAATTGGCTCCTAACATACCACAAATACTCACCAATTTCCACTCTATGCGGTGCCACTCTTGCAACAGCTGGGGACCCTGGCTCGCCTCTCCCTTTATTTTCATTTAGAGCAGCACTCGCTGCTATTCCCAGACATGGGCTGTTGGTGTCACGGCCCGCGCTTAGCCTCCTGCCCGTCTCGGCGTTGATTTCAGAGTTATAGGGCATGGGCAGGCTAATTTCGCTCTTAGAGATGTGGCGCTCTGGTGTGGTGCTACCCTCTCCGTCTGTCTGGATGTCCTTCTCGCTGACCGACTTCTTTTGCAAAAGGTTGCTGATCTCCATGATGTTGCCGATGATCTCCACAGGGCCGGTCAGGGTCTTCTTGCGAGGGGAGAAGTCCTCTTTCACCTTTTTCAAGTAGGAGGCCGGGGCCCAGCCCTCTTTCCCTAAATATCTGCGGGTAGGATGCATAAAGACAGAATGTTTCATCCTGTATTCTGGTGAATTGTTTCTTGCTATCATTTAAAGAGGCACTGCACCAATTTTACACATAAAGGTCAGTATATGGCGGCATGAAGTTTGAAAGGTGTGGACATTTTGTTTTTTAAATGTGCTTTTTGTGACTCCCCTAGCTGGAAGTGTAATAATAACCTGTTATGATGAGTGAATAAACAACTAAATTTCCACATTCTCTGACATTTCTGTACAAGTATGTAATAAAATACAAAAAGAAAGATCGTGTGTATTGAAAAACAGACACTTTTAATTCTAGTGACGCAGGGGTAGCTAAAGGCAAATAAAAGAGACACCACTTCCCACATTTCCACATTCATTGTCTAGCTAATTGAGTCATTTTAGAGTGCTGTGTGAAACACTAAGTGATGTTTCCAAATGTAACTCTGAGTCATTTCCACTAGGTGGACCATTTTCTGCTCACACAAGATGTGATTGTTTCTGCTCCCCTGTTGCACAAATCCAACGGGACCACAAGGAGTCCCCCTAACTAAAAAATCCCCATGCTTGGACTTCAATGTATAAACAGCCCACTGAGAGCAGCACGACTCCAGCCTACATCTAGAGGATTATTTCTTGTTGGACAGTGTGCTCTAAAATGACTTGCTGTGCATTCACTGAAGGCAAAGTAAGTAAGTCAAGTCAGTTTTATGTATACAGCCAAATATCACTAACCACACTCCCTCTATCCGTAGACCCTTGATTTGGATGAGGAAAAACTCCACAACAGGCTGTTTAAACAAGCAGTTTGTGTATTAGCCATATACTACAAATAAGCACATATAAGCATGTTTAACAGGGACTCTGTGTCTATGTTTGTGTGTCCATAAGCATGCACACTCTTAAGTCTGCATGTGTATTTCAAATGCCACGAGGCAGCATGTGATAGTAATCCTCTGCGCAGTGGAGCTCCACTCTGTTTTGCACCCGGGGATACAAGGAAACAAACAACCGACAGGAAATATAGAGGGGCTGGGCAAAAAAACATACATATGTGCAAACAGGCAAGACAGACTACACGTTAGAAATCTCAAGCAGGACACCCAGTTGATCTGTACAGAGCAACATATACCAATGTTTTCTCCTCAATATCATTACGGCAATAAAAGCCGCAGGACACAGCTGCCTTAATCACAGCACTCAGCAATGATGACTGACCAACAATGTCACTGTTCTGTGAGGATTATACATTGAAACTGGAAAGAAAATTTGGACAGATTCCATTTCTCCCATTTAGCTGCTATGTGTTGATGCTATTGCTGTGGCGGTCCTGTCAGCTGAGCACCTTTTACTCCTCAGTGTTTGCTCACCTGATGTACCACCAGCCCTCCAGGTTCTTTTGGATGACCTCCACGGTGACCCCTTTCTCAAAGCTGACTTCATCCTTCCCTTGACTGGTGTGCGGCTGTGTGGTCACATATTTCTCCTCTGGGGGTCATAAGGGGTAAAGGAAAGAGAAAGATGAGAAACAAAGTGATAGAACTGTTATCATTGAACACTCTTACATCGAGGGTTCAATGATAACATATAGTTTACATCTTCCCGGAGGGCCTTCTGAGGGGGAAAATGGTGAGTATGACCTACTTAAAATGTTCTGACTGTTACAATACCAACATAAACACAACCGTCTCTCCCTTGTCTTACACAATAATAACACCCGGCTCCCTCTACTGGCTGAACCTCTCCCGCTTGCTGCTTGTTTCTTACCCACGCTAAAACTCATTCAAGCTATTTGGACACTGATCCAAATGTTCATCTCTCTCCAGAGGGAGATTCCGCTCCTAGCAGCAGGCCTACATCAGAGCCCCCCTCGAGGAGATAAGATATTTGGACCAAGGTCTCTCTTCTCAGATGCATATCTGACTGCCACTACCTTCTCACACTCTGCTGGGCTTCCAACACCCTGTAGGGAAGGAAATCCTACAACGGGCTTAGTAGGGAGAAGTAAAAGGTAAAGGGATTTATAGCCACCAAGGCAAAAGATGGCCGCAGAGGAGGAGACAAAAGACTGGCAGACCAAGCATCAGTGGGAGAGATGATTAGCGGACAGCACATTGGCTTTTCAATGGATGGTGAATTGGTACGGTATGCAGAGGAAGAAGAATCTTTTACATATGCAATTCAGTGGCAGAAAATATGACGGGAGGGAGGGAGGAAGAGCTGTAAGAAGGGATCAAAAAATAAATGAGACCTGAGTTAGACAGGAGAGAATGTGATTTTAGATTACGGGTAGTTAATAAAATCCGTAATGGTAACAAGATTGCTCCGGGAAATGTGAGGGGCAGGGAGGAGATCTCAGAGCTATGTGAGACTTTGTTCTGAATGCATGCTTTCGATAGGTGGGGTATGTCCAAACGGAGGGGATTCAAGTTCCTCTCCTGCCTGTCACTGCTGAGCAGCTGAGGTCAATAATGTGGACCAGAGTGGAATGTCTGGCCCTGAACCTCAACTCCCAAAGCATATTGTGTATGTGTGTGTGTGTGTGTGTGTGTGTAGAGGTTAGGTTGAGTACTTGCAGACGGACAGGGAATAACAAATGGGGTGGCTTACAGAGGAATCTGGAACGTCTACCGAAATGTATGTCCTGTTATGTGTGTATTGATGTACTACTAACAAAATATTTGGCTCATCTTTGTGTGTGTGTGTGTCTGTGTGTGTCATGTAATCACTTTTAATCCCCTGAGGTAAGGAACAAAAATGATGTGATAATAAATCACGTCTGTTAGTCACATCTGTGTGTGTGTGTGTGTGTCTTTCACGAGCTTTACATGTGCCTTAGTGTCCAAAACTGTGTGTGTGTGCGTGCTGGCACCGGCGTCACACTGCAGGGACAGAACAATGAGTTGAGTGGGCGGTCAGTGAGACTCTATAAATCAGATTAGGGGCCTGCTGTAAATGATAGCGCTCTGTGAAAGCACAGGCCGCTGCCAGCAGTGCCGAGGTAGGACCTGCTCTTACTGAACCTTGTCGAGCACACATCAAGGTCACTTTGGCGTCAGTAACCAATCAACACTCCCAGAGAGGTCAAGACGCCCTGACCTGGCTTTGGGTCAGAGCACGGGTGAGTCAAAAAGAGGTGTGCTGTAATTGAATTGTATTGTCAAGATCTCTGGATCAGGTCCATGTCTTTATGACGCACCACGTATAAGACAAAGAAATCTGTGTCAGCAAACAGGCTGCAGAGTATACGACTGCTTTCTACCATTAGCAAATTACATCCTGAGAGAACATAAATCTACGGGATCTGTCTTTGTTTTTGTCCTTTGCCAGTGCTGCTAAATCAAACTGTATCTCAAGTGTCTGCGCGGAGCTGTAAAACCTCACTCACCCGTTTCTTATCGCTAGCTCAGCAATGCATTATCAGGCAGGGACAGTAGTGCCTCCATTCACAAAGCAAAAAAAGAAGGAATTGGGGATGACAAAGTGGGGAGGATAAGAATAGGAGAGAGGTGGAAAGACTGAAATTTGGCACAGGTCAAATATTAGCTGCAAATATTTATATAACAGTTTTAATATAACAGTGTTAGAACTCAACTCAAGATGAAATCCACTCCTATTATTTCCAATAGCAAGCCATCTAAAGTGCCAAGCAATTCAACACAAACCACTACTGTACCTGCACACAGTGGTATTTGATCCAGGTCTAACTGAAGCACAGATAAACCGACTTGAGGCAGAGACAGACAGCATACAGTAATTGGACAGCACGTCAACAGACAGTAATACAGCCGCAGAGTGAAGAGTGGTTCTGGATGAAATAGTTGGAAAATCCACAAAAACGAAGTCTGACCTAACTCCAGACAACAGCTGGTGGTGGTGATGGTGGAAAATAGGCTACTGGTCCAGGAGCCGTTAGCTTGTTTGCAGCAGAGCCAGCAACACTGGCTGCCGTGTGAGACTGCTCTGTCCTCTGCGGCCTTTATTAATATGACACATTTTCAACCAGTAAATCTTAACAGTCACACAGCAGTGTTTTCATTTCTCTATCTAAGCTAAACCGACGCTGTTTTAAGCAGCAATATCCTCTGTAACAAAAAGTACAACAAAAACGAGCTCCGGACGTGGTCTACAAAGTCGTGGATCCAACCAATCACATTTTTTGATGATCTGAGGGCCAAATGTCAAAGTTGTACAACGGAATGATGTACTTCATATACAACACAGCTGCCTCAGATTTCTGCACTGACATTCAATAGATGTGAGTAACTTTGGTACGCAACAAAGGATGATAACAGAAACACCTTTCCATGGCAGCATGAACAGATTAACCTGTTTAGGGGGGCCCTCAGGGTAGAAATGAGCAGCTGGACCCGCATTTACCCACCTGCCCAACAACATATAACTCCAAAATTTAGTATAGAAGGTCTTTAAACTAGAATTTGGCACAGGGCCACTCAAGGTCTTTATGTCAGTTAACGTTGTACTGCGTTTAGACCGACTATATCCCTGCAAATTCTTTGCGTCGATGCTTTCGTTTAATCCATATAACTGTATAGCACACTGCTTCACGCGGACATTTATTGCCTATCGCAACAGCAGGACGGCATCTGATCAGAAAGCATCCGCTCTATCGTCAAGTCACGGAGCATAGACAAGGAAACAGTAACAGCAACTTTAGCATTTAACTGATATCATTACTGCTTGTTGAGTTGAAGGCTAGCCAAAGTAAGCTGTAAATGTATACACACGTGCGTTTGGTGTTCTTCGCCTGGTTGGGCCGTGAGTTTGGGTTGTAACGTCACACTCATGGGTTAACTTACACAGTTGATCCCTGAAGAAGCAAAAGTACTTCTTAAAGGATGAAACGATGAAATAATCTGTAGAAGCTTCGATTACTAAAATCGTGTCTCAGAATTGTACAAGCTGTTGTGTAGAGTTCCCAAATTACAACAAAGCAACATAATGTGAAATGAAAAAGTAACTCTGCCCTATGGAAGTAAAAAACCTAGGTGTCTAAAAAGTGCTGGAATTCAAGAATATGGCCTCCAAAAGTGTTTCATGCTCTCATTCTCTGGTGGCGACAGCTATCCGGGTGACTCATCCACGCTCTGAGGTTGAGGTCTGTGTGATTAAAACCAGTCCGCAGATTAGGCTGCTGTCCCACTTTCACACTTTCCACCACTTTCTCACTGTTCTGGGAGACATATGTAGTTAGGTAAGGCTAACACTGTTCTCCTAACCTGCTACAGTATACGCTTCATATGCTTTCATGAATGATGATATACTGTAAATGGTGACCCTTTAATGTTTCTACTTAGACTTGTGACAAAAAGGTTGCCAGTTTGAATTCCTAAATCAGCCGAGTGGGGGAAGTGAATGAGTGAATGACAGGTATCACTGTTGTTTCACACAAAACCAAATAGGATGAAGGACTTCGGTATGTGGTTACCGTGCATCAACTGCTTGAGGCGGTGGAGTATGTAAGAATATTTCCTGTATGTCAGTGTGTGTTTGTTTTTAGAAGGAGCAGGGGCCCATGTTGTTTTTATTCTAATGTTTTTTTCTCTCCTGAACAGTATAAGTTACTGTTTGCTCTACAGTAGAAGCACATGCCATTTGACTTTTTAGTTTTGTACATGCAGATTGTATTGTATTCATTCACCTCTCTTTATTCTATGCCCTGTTCCCCGCTGGTCTGGGGGGAAGGTGGTGACAAAAGCCAGTCCAGCCAGGTTATATTATGATAATGAGAAACAAAGACTATTTGAAAAGTTTTTACAGGAGGTTGAACAACTCCAGGAACAACTTCCATAAATTATAACTACAAGGTGTATTTCTAGAAGTTGCCTGACTGAGAAGTCCGAGAAAGGTTTGAATTCAAAAGCTCTGACTCGCCCCAAAGAGAAGTGATTGTGTACTTTCAGACATAGACTCATGTCTCTCTTTCAGTACTAAAGCAATAATGACTGGACAAAACCGCAGGTAACTTGCCAAATGCAAAAGTTAAAAACATGAAAGACCATTTTCATATTTGTCTGTTGAGTTTTCTTTTATGAAAGCATTCCATGCAAAATGTGAAAGTCCTTAACGTCATTTTAAACCTGAGGGAGCTTGCTTTAATTAAGCAGTAACACTCTTATACAATCATTTATGTTCACATGGCTCAGTTGCTGTAAAGGTTGTTGCGTTTGCGCTGTAGGAGCCAAAGAGCCTTAATTACTCAAATGTGTTTAATGCAGTCCAATTATTTTCTTGCTCCATGTGAACTAAAGGGTGTTTCATTTTGACGCAGTGACTTTTGAGATTTTACTGTAAGGGCTGACTCACGGCCACCCAATATGCTGCTCCCGGTAGTTACTTGAGGCCAGTTGTTGTTGGCTGAGTATGTTCATGAGGTTGTTTACCATGTGGCCGCAAAATAGGTGAAGAGTGGGGCTCAGCAGCGGTACTGTATATTTGTTTCTTAGTATGTGGGGAAGGTGTGTACTGTATGTGTGGGTAAGTGAGATTCAGACACTTATTATTGTCTTGTTTGGACTCTTTTGCAATTATCAACATTTTTATCTCTTATAATAACATTTTACATGTTTATGTGACTAAATAATCTGAGCTTCTGCAACTCACAATCTTATTGGCAAAAATAACGGACTCAGGTGCCATTACGTGAGCTAACGTTAGCTACTCTGTATGCTAATCATTTTTTTAAAGTGCAACATTTTAGCAAATTTTATTAAACAAAAGATAATGTTGTCGTGATAACCTGTATCAGACATGTATGGAATTTACTCTTAAATCACAATTTAATAAACTTTGTATTTTTAGTTGATGAAAATATGGCCATATATTTTGCAGGCCTGCACTGCAAACATTTTATCCTGGCAAACTGTTAGCTTGCCACAAACAGCTACAGGTTAGCACTAAATCACAGGCTGTAAGAGAAAAGTTTAATGTTCTCTGAAACATGCTACCATCATCTTTTGTCAATAACCTTTGAACACTTTGCTGAAAAGCTGCACACGTCAAAAACTGAAATGGCTTACAAAGTAGCTAAAGTTAGGTCACATAATGACACCTGAGGCACATCTATTCGATGATGAAGACTGTAAGATATTGTTGAAAACTCTGAAATAGCAAATAAACGGACATAGCAGGAACCTCCGGCTCTGAAAAGTGAAGCCAATGTGTCTCTCACATCACTAATTTTTCCCAAAAAACCAAGATGGTGAAAATGCCAAACTCGAGGCCTCAACACTCGAGGCTTGAAATAAATGTCACAAGAATTAACTAGCACACTGGTTACATGCATGTTGATCATTGCTCTTTTAGTTTCTGTAGGCTAAGAAAACAACAAGTATTTTCATCTGTAAATGCATATGTGGTATATGTATATATGCTAACAATTATGCTCTACATGTGTATGTGTGGTCTACAAGTATGAGTCCACATGCATGAGCTGGTTTGTTACCTTATGTGATGTGGAGAGAGAAAATGACTCAGTGTTTGATTCCTTGTGGGTACATGTGTGGGTTTGTATTGATTTATGTATGTGCAGGCTCAGCCATGTGGGATATGTATATATGCATTTATGCAAACTGGGTTTTCTGTGCACGTGAGTGTGTGTGCCCGCTGTCGCCCAGTTCACCTCTGCTCTGCTGGCGGTTGACGATACCACCGAGGGTCCAGCGGCGGTCCAGCCTCTTCAGATGCGCCTTGCGTCTCTTAGTAACTGATGATGATGAGCAACCAAGAAGGAAAATACGCAAACAAATGTAGAGTTAGTGTAAGAAGCAGAGATTAAAAAAGTGAACAAATGCAAAAAAAAGCTGTTGTTAGTGGCACCAAAAAAGTTTCCAAAGGACAATGGCAAATAAAAAGCTTCTTTAAATCAATTACAAAGCCAGCAGATCATTTCTTACAGGGTGAGGACAACCAAATAATAACAACAACCAAATCTTTTTTGTCTTTTTTAAATGTCAAAAGTAAAAATCAAAAATGGTATATGAAGGATATTTAGTAAGGATAGCTAAGCACCACATGTTATTCCTTACCATTATATATTTGTGGATGTGTACTTCACTATTTGGTCCATATTTATCATGTAAATATCAGCATGTAATAAGATTCTATTTTATTTTATAGCATCTGACGAAAGACAACAGACAACACACCACTGTGTACCTTAAGCTACGTGTTATAAGGTAACAATGCACAGCCCTGCAATAAATACTAACTTTGTAACTTATTTCCAGCTTTTTGTGCCAGAGACATGTGAAACAAAAACAAAAACCACTGATACTTTCTAGTTGACACAGAGAAGCAGGTAGGATTCCCGCTACAGGGAGGCGTTTCTGTGTGTACCGTCTAACCATGAACCTCAGCTCAGTAAATGTGTCAAATCAGTTTGTGGCTGAAACTTGTTTTAATTTTGACCTGTTCTGTTGATTTCTTTTCCCAATAATACACATTTTTGTTTAGACTATGAACTGTTAAAAAAGGGCAACATGCCTTTAACAATATCCAAGAATCCTAGGTTGCATCTTTGAATTATTTCCTTTGGTCGACAGTCCAAAATCCCAAATCCCAAAGGTATTTAATTTACAAGGATATAAAACAGGGAAAAGCAGGAACCATTATGACACCTGTTGTGGTTTTGTGGGCTCCAAAACGCTACAGACTGACATGAGATGACACAAATCTATAAATGAGGAATTCCTTTTGAGCACCTGATTTAGCACAATGTCGTGGTGAGGATATTTCAACCTGTGCTGAAACGGAGATTTTTGCAGTGCATATAAAACATACTTTTACAGTAAGCTGTGCAAGCTAATGAACACTGACAAACGTAGATGGCTAACATTACTATATTCTTTTAGCTTATCATCTGATCAACTAGTAAGAAAGACAAAGCTCAGTCCCTGTTGATATAAACTGGTAATTGATGAGATCTACATACAGTATCTTAGTAGGACTGTACACTGTCTCTAGCTGCTGCTGCTGCTGCTGCTGAACTCTCAGCCTCTAGGACCCTTTATTAGTTCAAAGCCTGTATGGTAAAGCAACATGATGAGTCAGTTTCCTGTCTTATTGCATTCTCGGACGCCATATGAAGAGCTAATAGATTTTTGCAGGGAAGGATAGATGCAGCACTTGTCTTCTGTCTATCTACTGTGGTAATCTAATTCCTTCTCTGTCGCTCACTTTCACCATCTTCTGTCCTCCTTCACCTTCTTATCTCTCCATCTTTCCTCCTGCTCGACATCCCCCACTCTCCCTTTGTTTGCTTCTGCTACTTGTCATTTCCTCTCCCTTTTGATTCCTCTCTGCCTTCCATCCTTCCCACTGAGCACCACCCTACTCCTGCTGACCTCCTAATTGAAATATCAGCTAAGGGAAGGCACAAAGGGAAATGTTATTTCAAGGTAATTTCAGTGGGGCCAGGCTGCGCCTGTCGGTTCCTCTCCAGTGAGCTGAGCTGTCAGTGGAATTAGGTTACAGACCACGCAGAGATAATGAGATGTAAGAGACGACAGGAAGCGGGAAGGGGAGATCAGAAATAAGAAGTGACGATGTGTGCAAACACAAAGACACCAGGCCTAATGGGAAAATGGCAGCCACTGACAGTGGACAGGGGTCCACAGTGTGTGTGTGTGTAATGGTGAGCTCAGGTACTTCAGGCATAAACTCACTTGAGCAAATTGGTTAACAGAGAAAGAAGAGAGTGAGAAAAGGCAATGCGATGAGAGCGTGTCCACATTTTTTTAGTGTGTTATTTTTTTCTTATCTGTAATTACAGCATACATTTCTATTTTTGGTTGTTTTTTTATTTTAGACATGCTTTGGCGATGCAAACATCTGTGTTATCATGCCAATAAAGCCTTTCAATTGAATAGAATGTATTGTTTCTCCTTTAAATTCACTGCCAGACCCCACAGGCTTAAAGGATAATTCACAACACCCATAAACAGACTTTGATGTGTAGAATGGGTGCAGCTCCCCTTTAAGGCACTATTACACAGCCTTTGTCATTAACAAACAGCGTGAAAATGCTCAAAATTAAAAAAACAAACAAAAACATTGCATCAAAAGCATTTACATGTACCATGATGCAAACGTAAAGCTTTGCACAACCAAAGGACAAGATGACGGCTAGAAAAGAGCTCTGAAATCACCCCTGCACCTAATAGCAGGTGGAATTAACTTGTGTCAGTGAAGTAAGGAAGATACCAGCCCAGATTCACTGTCAGAAGGCAGAGGGCCCTGTAGCTTGGATAAAACTGGCCAATTGTCTTAAAATCCCCACGGATGAAAGCTGTGGTATCCAGCTGTTTGACTTTTTATCACGGAAATAGTTAAATAACTTGCCATCACACGCTATAGGCTACATGTTCTCTCCCAGTACCTATGCACCTTTATCAAATAGCGCCTGCTGCTGTGAGACATCGTTGTTACTGTACGTTGCCATGTAGCGGTTCCCGTGTGTCATGTTGCTTGTAGTGATTGGCTTATTTCAGTTGTAAAAAAAATTGACCTGTGAGAATTTTTGAGAATCTTTTTTTTTATAAAGAGCAAAAGTTGGGCTTGTGAGTGTGTGTGAGAGAAAAACAAATCCAAGAAAGAAATGAGAAGAGCAAATCACAGTGGCTGTGACAGCTGTGCAGGCACTGTCATCATTCTAGCAGAGTGTGATTTTGTGTGTGTGTGTGTGTGTGTGTGTGTGTGTGTGTGTGTGTGCGTCTGGCAGAATGTGCACGGTTCAATGAAGCGTGGAGGCTTTTGTGTTTTAACGAGAGACAGAAAATGTGTGTTAGATCGTCCAGTGGCATTCTACAGCATAATAAACTATTGCACCATTCCTGTTTAATTACTACATTACTTACTGGAGATAAACGGTGCGCATATGCATGCTCCCTGCATTTCTGAGCATGCATGTGTGTTTGCATTATATTTATCGCTATTGGAATCGATCGGTCTAAAAGCAGAAAGGGGCTTATGACACAGTGATGAAATGCTCCATCCCAGCAGTCAGACTAAACAGTAGGGAGGAAAGGGTCACAACAAAATGAGGCTCCTGCAAAAGTTGCAGCCTCCCAGGGGAGTTAAAAGGAATTTTTAGTGTTGCCAAAATATTGCAAACGCTTTGGCTGCGGTCTGGTACCATTTTACCATGGAGCTGCGACTGTGGTCTTCAAGGTTCCTAATGTGTGACTGGAAGTGTGTTTGTGAGTTCGTGTTTGTGCATGCATGTTTAGCGCTGACTCCTGTATTCTGTTTTTAGTCTTTAATCCGGGAAAACCACACACCAAAACCTTTATTGAGAAATCAGGGTCTGTTCCACGCAGACATTTCTCGAATAACGAGTAGGCCAGCATGACGTTTATGTCTTTCTGTGTTTTATGAATCCAATAATGTTCTGTCTGTGTGTGTGTGCTTGCGCCAACCTTCTCCAGTCCTGGAAGTGCCCAGATCCAAATCGTCTCTGGTTACATTCTGGGAGTCCAGGTATGTGGCAGGCACCCAGCCCTGCTCCTCTGCTGTGCTGACAAACCACCAACCTAGAGAGAGAGAGAGAGAGAGATACAGGAAAGAAAGATGAAAAAAGACAGAGAGACAAACATGTTCGTACTGCTAACAGTCATCAAGGCCTGAAGGATGGCAGCGGGCATCATTCCCACATGGTGATTTACACCAAACAATGGAAATTACACATCATTGTTGCTCATCTCTCTAAAGTAGCACAATGTACTGTGACTGTGGATGAGCGCGCATTTGCACTAGAGCAGATTCAGCCTGTGTATGGGTGATAAAACTGTACATCTAATACGGTGGGCTTTTCCGTAGCATGACAGAGAGATCTGAGGCGGACTCACGGTGGCTAAACGTTTCACCTACTTGGAAAGCTCTCAACATTACTAAACCAGACACTGAAAGAGAAGACAGCTACTGGAGAGAAGAAAGTCTTAGATCAATGCAGGTTAAAAAAGCAACTGTTGAGACAAGTTGCTGCACTTTTCACTATTGCTCAATACGAAACATGTTATATTGCAGCTGTTTCGGGACCTCGCTAAGTGGCTCCAAGTCGGACAATTCAAGGTTATACAGTGTGAAAGCCTAAGAGTCCAAGCCATGCTGGCAGCACAGTGAGGGAGTACTTAGGCACAACAGTGCTTTAAGTGAAAGGCTAATATTAGAATAGCAACAGGCTCACAACAATAATGTTAATGCTAATATTTAGGAAGTACAGTGTTTACCATGTTTACAAGCTTAGTTTCAGGATCAGAAATCTGTCAGGATCAGAAATCTTTTTATTATAGTAGGTTTTCACTTACAACGAATCTGCATTGGTATTTCGGAGCACAAAATAGCACATACCACAAAAAAGATCAAACAAGTGAATGAATCTAAAATATAAATATACAATAAAAACGTAAGATAGATCTGTTTTAAAATAACTTCACAATGTTTAAAACGAAGAAGATGTGCAAAACACTGACTAAGGAATGTGTGACAATGTTGTGAATGTGTAAAAAATAATAGTGCTAGATTTGCAAAAATGTGTGTTAAGGTAATGCAGTGGATGTCACTAGTTTTGCAGGAATTTAGTCATAAACCAACGTATTGTGAAACATTTCTCTGATAATGAAAGAAGATGGATAACCTTTGGGATGACCAAATTTTTGGGGGGAACACAAATGTTTTTTCCACTAATTTAACTCTAACCCAAAAATGTCAACCTAATCCCTAGATGAAAAGTCAGGGGGGATCACCAAAATCATAAGGTTTCATCCTTTGAAGACCATGAATGTTGCTGAGACATCGCAGTCTGGACCGACAGACCTATCGACCAGCCAGCATCGTCATCCCTAAGAGTCCTGCTGCTACTGTGGCTAATAATACCTTGGAAAAGAATAGCATGCTGAATTGATGCCATTAGAGAGCTCAGTGTATAATGTACAAGAATTCTTTGCAATATTGGTGATTAATGACACATCATTTCTTTGTAAAACAGCCAGAGAACTTTTGCTGGACTGTCCACATTTTCCCAGACTATCCTTCGTCCACTGACTCACTCTTGTGTCTTCAGGGAGTCTCATGAAGCTGGACGGATTTTCACTCACAAATGAATTAAATATCACAGTATGTAACGCCACACGGTTGCACTTTATTTGAATTAAACTTTACTTACATACAGTACTTCCTCCATACCAAAGTTGTAGAGCAGAGATCATACTTTGACTACCACTGACTAATGAGGAGTTTGTGGTCACATGTAAGCTGTTCTGTTACAACTTTCACTGAGCTGACTTGACACAACTACAAAAACATGTCACTTTGGGCGCCACCCGCAACCAAAACAACCGAGAATCAAGTCATTTACATCGATCACATTTTGACAACTAGCATGTGCCGTTCTTTAACGAAGAGTATGTTTGCCAAATTTGAAGGTGTGTCTAGTATTGCCTTTGTAACATTTGGGATCATAGCAATGGTGCTGACATGTCTTAAAACGAGATGTGACATTTTTGTTGTCGCTCTAACTTCTGGCTAGAAAACCATTGCGTGACCCATTCTTCCAATATACACAGGACACAGATATTTCTATCTAACAGTATGGATGAATGTCTTTATGAAGGCACTGCAGCACAACCAAAGTAAGTAGTTCAATGCCTTGCTTGTAGGCACTTCTAATAGTAGCTGTTGTGTGTATATGTTTGCTACAATCACAGTAAATTTCACTAATATCCCTTGGTTTTATTTTGGCAACCCTCTCGTCTAAAGTGCTCAGACTGGTTTCAAGTGTCCTTTCGTATGTTAAGTGTAACTGAATGAAAACTAGAACTAGAAAAGGAGAACTAGAATGGAAACAAACTAATTTTTTCCAAGAACCAGGTCATCACAATGTATTTAGAGCTATATGGCTCAGCTCTCTAATGTGGTAGGCGAAGCCTGGGTGAATCAACCCATCACGCCCTCTTTTATTACCCGGCAAGACACCAATCACATCAACACGTATGAATGATGTGGAAAATATGCCTGTAACATAGAGCTGTATCATAGGGAAACTTGCAGTAATGGTGACAAGGGGGAAGGTGTGTTTCTACTGTATTAAGCAGCTACAGTAAGTGAAAGCAACTACAGACCATGGCTCCAGAGAAACAGAGATTTGGTTGGAACAGAGAAATTGTCAGAAATGAATACTCATAACTACATGTGTAATCATTTAAACAATTACTGAGTAAATAGTGAAATAATTTGCATTTACAAATAAACAATACTTTGACATTATTTATCTTGCTGTTAAAGAGACCACGGTCTTAGCAAATAATATGGTACAACCAAGTTGACTAGAGCAGTTATCAGAAAATAATGCACTTCCCTCTACTTTAGAGGTCGGCCATTCTTTGTGTTGCACTTTTGAGTTTAGTATCTGCCTTATAGTATGTTGAGTTTTGGGTTCTGTCCTGTATAGTATCCAGTATCTGCTTTATAGTCTGTTGTGTTTTGAGTTTCTCTGAGTTATTGTTTGGTCAGTTCATTATCTGTTATTTAGTTGGTCTTTGATTCCATGTCATGTTCTTAGTCTTGTATAGTTCATGTCTTTAGTGTTTACTCCTGGTCTTGTGTTCTCTGTACTGTGTTCTAGTTCTGTGTTCTGATATTTTGTAACATGTGTGCGTTTCTGTGTTGTCGCTTATTCACTCTGCCCCAGGTCTGCAAGATCAAGTCTCTCTGTTTTCCTCTGCTCTCCCTCTCTGCCTCGTTAGTCTCATGTCTGTCACCTGTGTTGCTCCCGCCCTGCTCGTTAGTCCCTGTGTATATATACCTGGTGTTTCTGTCTTGTCTTTGTCTGGTCATTGTTCATGTTACCTCCCAGTCTGTCGTGCGTGTACTCGCTGCCTTCCTGTAGCCAGCCTTGCTCGTCTTGTCACCCTGTACCTTTGGATTTTTGTTAGGATCACCTTGTTTTTGGACTCTGTTAACCAGCCACTCTGTCAGTAAGTGTGCTCGCCTTTTGTTTGTTTTTTGCCTCAATAAATCCTCTCGTTTCACTGCACCACCTCTGCCTTGCGTCCTGCATTTGGGTCCTCCAACCTGCCTCCACTCCACCCATCGTGACAGTTAAATGTGTTTTTGAACAACTATGCAGCCTGTTTTGGATTATTATGTCTTACACGTAATAATGAATAATAAATATATATATATGTGTGTGCCTAAATTATTAAATATTCAGTTTAATCAGTAGTCCATATTTGTCATAAAAATGCCCCAAGCCAGAGGTGACATGTTCAATGTCACCTTGAAATGGAGAAAAAGACACACAAAAAAAGTAAATCTTCATATTCACAAACAGTGTTGGGCAAATTACTTCCAAAATGAAATCCATTATAGATTAGTAGTTACTGTCACTTGAGAGTAACTAGTTATATTACAATATTAGTGTCTCTGAATTGTAATGCTTTGCACTACTTTCACTTAAGTTATTTTCACTGCTATTTAATTGGTGCATTAATCAGGTGTGTGGCTGCATAGGAGGGTTCTAGTGATGTGCAGATCGCAGTTCTAGACTCTCTGATCATGAAAGGAATTTGTTTTATGAAAACCCATACAGAATTCAATGTACACGTGATCCATGATGATAAAGACACAGAAAAATAGAAATGCCGGTGCTTAAATGTTTCTCGGTGTTGGTGACTTATTCAAAAAAAAAAAAAAAAACACCACTTACTTTCAGGTTAAAATGAGTTATTACACACATTACTGAGATTCTAACAAGTATATCACCAAATTTTTATTAGTAATGCGTTATGTTAACGCAGCAAAAAGCAATACATTACTGTAATTGCATTACTTTTGTAACGCGTTACTCCCAACACTGTTCATGAATGTTTTGGATATTTTGCTGGATCATATTATTGATTCATTTTATGTTGATAAATTCATCAATCAACAACTAATCATTTCCACAATACACTATTCAAATGTTGTTTTAGTGCAATGTGTGGTAACATTTCTCATGTTTGACAAAAAAGTTTTAATGTGCTTACTATAGGTAGCTGTCTAATGTATATGAGAGCATGTGTTGTGTTGCAGGAGAATATGTGTTGAGAGATGTTTATTTCTGTATTTTGTGTTATCTTTGTAATGCTGCAGAACGGAGTCCAAAACAAATTTCCCTTCGGGGACAATAAAGTATATCTTATCTTATCTGATCTTAATTAAAGCTCATGCCACTATATACCCTTTTTCGCTTCTGGACTTGTCTCTTGTAAGACAGTGAGGCCTGTGGCATAAAAACACCTTCTTCTTACACACACAAGCTCACACAAAATCATGCTGAAATACTGTCTCTCCTGAATTTCCCCACAGCGGGTCATGTCTCGCAGTTACACAGGGGTTCATTCAACCCAAAGGCCTACAGACACATGGGGGTTGTGCACAGTAGCTGCAGTGTAGCTACTCCAGCCTGAACTTGCTCACAGTGACACTAGCTTTCTGTGGATGCTCTGTACCTTCCTCCCGACTGCTTTCATACCTTTGCAGAGACAGTTACAGT